TTCGTGGAAGAAGAAGTTGATTCAGAAAATGAAGTTCTTCAGACAAAGTCAAATGAATTTTCTATATATAATCCCAATGTCCCTTGGAACGTAATAAAACCCTACGTGGGTGAAAGATATGTTTTTGTTTCCAAATTAAAGACATGCTTGACTAACTATGCTCTTGCAAATGGACTTCAGCTTAGGTACGTTATTTGTATATTAATTTACATATATACATTATTTAATTTGTGTTACTTGACACATCTCCATCAATTAGATACAAAAAAATTCCAAGGACAAGTAACTTGTTGTATGCGGACCAAAATTAGGATCATAAAAAATGGTTGTCCATGGAGGTTGTGGGCTAATTGGATGTCGAAGGAAAAATCATTTCAAGTGAAGTCATTACACGATGATCATATATGTGGAAGAAGTTACCATTTAGGTTCACTTGTATATTCTAATTGGACCACAAAGGTATACGGTAAGAAGATAATACAAAATCCTTCTATAAAGTTAGTTGAATTAAAAGAATCAATTCTAAGAAAATACAAGTGCACAGTTCTATTAAGTCAATGTAGTAGGGCCAAAGCAAAAGCTTTGGAAGGATTGGAAGAGTACCTAATTGATCATTATGGAAAATTGTGGGACTATGGAGAAGAAATCATGAGGAGTAACCCAGGGTCAACCGTCAAAATGAGTGTAGAGGTAAGGCCCGATGAGAAGAATTAATTTAAGAGTTTTTATGTTTGTTTGAAAGGTGTGAAAGATGGATGGTTGGCAAGCTGTAGAAAGTTCATTGGATCGACTAGATGGATGTATTTTGAAAACCTATTGCAAAGGAGAACTATTAAGCACGATAGGCAGGGATGTGAATAATCAATTCTACCCACTTACTTAGGTTGTAGTTGAAGTAGAATGTAAAGATAGCTGGAGGTGGTTCTTGGAATATTTGATGCAAGACATTGGATTGACGGATGGATTGGGGGTGACATTATTGTCAGATCAACACAAGGTAACCTAATTGTATTACTTTTTTTCACTAATATGTTATCTACTTTTATGATTTCTACTAATTAGTTATCAACTTAAAAACATCAGGACTTATTGAAGCAGTAGAAGAAGTCTTCCCGCTGGCTGAACATCAACAATATGCTAGGAACATTTATGCAAATTTCAGGAAAAGGTTTACTGGAATCCAATTCAGGTCCTTATTCTAGGTTGCATCAAAAGTGGGTACACCTCAGGAATTTAGACGTGTATGTAATGCAAGAAGTGAAAGGATTAAGTCATGAAACTTATGATCATCTCATGGAAAGAGATCCAAACACATGGTCAAGAGCCTTTTTCAAGACCGATACATCGTGTGATGCGGTTGAGAATGGAGTTAGTGAGTGTTTCAACTCATTAATTGTTTCAACAAGAAGGAAACCTATAATAACAATGGTTAAAGAGATAAGATTGACCATCATGGAAAGATTTGAGAAGATGGCCAAGAAAGTTGAGAAATGGAATGGTGACATTTATCCAACAATCAAAAAGAAAGTGGAGATAAACAAAGATCAAATGAGGCCACTTTTTTTATTAATTTGTTTCATAAATGCGATAATTTGTTTACCTAATATGTTCATTACAATATTATTATTCGCTTAGATCTTGGCATGTTGTCCCGAATGGCAGGACTCTCTTTGAAGGAAAAAAGTGGCTTGACGGATACGTTGTCGATACGGATAAAATGACATGCACTTGCAGGATTGGGCAAGTCTCTTGAATTTCATGTGCTCATGCAGTTGCGACTATCTATTTCATTAACCGGACCAGATAAGTATTTATCTCACTTTTTTTCAAAAACATGTTTCATAAACACATGCTACCATAGGGTCAATCCATTGAATGGAGTCAAGCTTTGGTCGCCCATTAATTTTGTCAAGCCTTTACCACCAAAATTTAGAATAATGTCTGGTAGAACTTCAATATCTAGACAGAAGGATGCATGTGAAAGTGGTAGTAGAAGTAGGACCAACAATTTTGGACAATGATGAGGTAGGAAGAACAGGAAGGCAAATGACTTGCAAAAATTGTTGGGGGATTGGACATAATTCAAGAGGTTGTAAAAACCAAAAAAACGATTCACCTTCTAAGAAAAAAAAATCATGTTGGTAGGCCTAGAGGCAGTGGTTCAAGTAGGGGTTCAAGGGGCAGTAGTTTAAGGAGAGGTTCAAGAGGCAGTAGTTTAAGGAGAGGTTCAAGAGGCAGAACTTTAAAGGGAAGGGGTTCGTCGAATTCCATCGATTGTGGTAAGTAAACCTTGTGATCCTATATGTTTTTTTTTATTAAAATTTTTCGATTTGTTTTTCAAAAGTCATTAAGCAATTAACATGACTTTTTTCTTATTTGAAGTTGAAGCAAAAGAAAGGGAAGAAACTGTGTCTAAATGGACTAAGTGGAGCCGGATGTAATATTGATTGAGCTTTAACGAAATATAAGAACATTTTGGTTTATAATTGATAGCGGCATTATATTATTGCCCATTTATTGTAATTGATACGTCATTTCTTTAAAATATTTAACAATTGACAATATTTTTGTTAATTAACTTATCAATGTTTATCAATGATTACAAATATTTTTATTATTTGATCTTATTTAGTTAAGAAAAAAGATGTAATTTTCCTTAATTGAAAAATATATATTTTACAAAAAGAAAAATTAAATTGACATGGATTTTTTTTAATCCAAAAAATACAAATTTTACAAAAATAATAATTAAAAAAATGATGTGGTTTTTTCCTTAATTGAAAAATACTTATATCTCAAAAAAAAATGACATGGACTTTTTTTCTTAGTTGTCATTTATAAAATAAATAAACAATGTCACATCAATAAAAACATAATTTTAATCAACATTTGAAAGTCATCAAGTAGAAAGGTACTTAAAAGTTTGATGTTTTACAATTGAGGTATCAAAATGAAAGGCTTTAACAGTACGTTATCTAAAATAGAAATCAGATGAAAGTATATTATTTTTAATGCAATTTGCCCATAAATTTACAACTAATTTTAAATTTAAAAAATCCATTTCACCAGCTATGTCAGCAAATAATATTGAGTTGGATGTTACATTATTCAGACACATCAACATTGATAACGAGTCAATGCTTAAACAAATTATCCAGATACTTAAATGTTTGAAACTTCACATCTTATATACCAAAACTAAAATTTTGAAAGTATGTTACTCAAAATAAGAATAAAGGTAAAATACGTTATTTTTTCACGCAATTTACTCTCAAATAAAATATTTTATTTGTTCTTCCTTGAAATTTGAAACTGTTTGAGAAGGGGGGGGGGATCTACTAAGAAGGTAGGGGTTGTACGAGTTACCACTCACATGTCTCGTCCTACTGAAAAAAAGGGGGCTTAAAGGGGTACCCACATAATTTAAGAGCAACCATAAAACCTTTAAAACCAAAATTATAACAAGGTTTGAAAATGGTTGAGATTTTCTAAATCGTCATATTAATGCTTGCCTTTCATAAAATTATATACATCTACGAGTACAAGGGTGGTGAAGGTCGTTTACAATACTTTAGGACTAAAATCGTACATATATTTTTTCCTCAAGGTTTATTTCAAAAATACAACGTTTGCTTTTGTTGGATGGATTGATATCATCTTTAACTGCTTTTGTTTATGACCATATATAAAAATGATATAGAAATAATTTTGTCTTTATTCTTATTTTAGAGAACTAAAAATAGAACTGATTTTGTTCTCGTTCTTATTTTAAAAAATATGAATTTAATCTTCGAATCTTTTTAAATGAAAGATGTTCAAAAATTAGCTCTGGGAGGTTGATGTTTAGAAGAAAAAAAGTGTTGCGTCCCGACCCAACATAACAATTACGTTGATTTCGTGTATACAATTTTTATGGACCTCAAAGCTTTCTTATATTCTCATTCAAACTCCATCAATAAAAAATGAACTCATATTTACATATGAATACACTTACATGCGTAAAACTCAAATCAAATATCAATAATATGGACGAAATACAACAGATAAACCCCATTATAGTTCATATAATGATCCATAAACAAAATTTATCTTGCGTTTTTCATAATCTTACTAAGTAATCAACATTTTCTCCATACGAATCCATCTTAGTCGATCACGGCATCTTGCATCTTGCATCTTATTTGGTCTGTCATAAGACAAACCCGGTCTTAGGCCATGCTAGGACACAAGAATCCCGATAAGTTTTTTTTTTAATCCAGACCTGAAAAATCCCAATCGAGTCCATTTTTGCACCCAAATCCTAGCTAGGGCGGGGTCGGGCTTTTGAAGGCTTTTACTTTATTCTTTTACTTGCTAGTAACGTGTTTAGAAGAAGGTCCATGCCCGAAAAGTTTTAATTATAAACATTGGTACGTTCAAATCACTTTTGGACTCGTTACATGGAAGTCGATTTGATGAAGTTTCTCATAAGCTTTACTTTTTAAATTTCATGTACCCAAAATCACATCTCATCTCGTCTCGTCTCGTGTATTATGTACCAAGGCTTTTTCTTCTTAATTTATATGAGATTAAAAATTAATAAAAAATTATTTAATTAAGAAAAATTATAAATTACGTTTCCATAAACTTATATTAAAGAGACCCACAAATTTGCAATTGCTTTGTCTGCTACTTTAATATCCATATAACAGATTATGGTTGTATGTCTGCTACTTTCTTCTCAAATTTATGAATTATTTCAATTCATCATTCAATAATAAATATTAATATATAATAAAAAAAAACACACACAGTGGGAAACGGGTCGGATAGCGACCCAAGTGGGCCGTAGTTGTGGGTCCATGCCCAAGCCCAATCATGAATGGGTGGTTTAGCGTTAGAAGTAATTCCTAACAGTGGTCTGTGGGCACACTGAATCATATGCCTTGTTATAAGCAAGCAAATATGAGCAGAATACAAACCCCAAATACCATTACAACATGACTCCACATCTCCCTTCCTTCTTCCTCGTTCATCCTCAATTACAACATGTCCTCGCCAAAATGTCTTTCCTTGACACACTCTTCTTTTATGTTAGTCTTCTCTTTCTCTCTCTCTCCATATATATATATATACACTATCGTACGAGAAACAGAGTTAAAGTGAGAAAAATAAGAAGGGATCTAGACCCATGATCACATTTAATCTTAAACCCACCTATGAATCACACTTGATGACGATATGGTGTATCTCGGTGCATCTCATCCTAATGTGCATTTAATAGTGGAGATCTCTTCTTACGTTTCTCACCTTAACTCTTATTCTCACCGGAACACAACCATATACACACACACATGCAGGGGTTCAAATCAGAACACCTTCATTTTGTGAAAATGCGAAAACATTTTTTTAATGTAGTCAATCACAATGTGATAGTGTACTCAATACATATTATTCACATGTGATAATATAAATGAAAGACACAGACGACCTTCGGCATGACCTAAGTTGCATGTCAAGTCGCTCGCATACCACTAGGCCCCCTCATGTATATCACATGTCGTTCAAATCTAGCTCAGCCCAACAATTCGCCAATCTACCATTAGGGTGTTTACAATGTGATACTATAATCCAACACATATATGATATACATGTGCTAAATCAAAGACGTGGACTAGACCTTTGGTGCGACCTAGGTCATTGGCCAAGTCGTACGCACACTACCAAATCCTCTTACTTGTATTATCACATGTGATTCGAGGTATTCTCATGTTTTCATAAAATTAAAGTGTTCTCGTTTGAATCTTCACATGTATGTAAATTACATTATAACATAATATACTTTGTTTTTATTCTTATTATGAGAAACTATCTTCAAAAGCTTTATTTAATTCCAAGAACTTAATATCTTTTATGTTTGTTCCTTATTACGAGAAATTGTTGAGGTTATCCAACGAATGTGGTTAAAAAGATGGTTATAAAAAATAAACATATTTTTCTCAAAATTTTAAATGGAAAATAGGTGAAATATAGTAAAAATTGGAGCAAAACAAAATATATCAAATAAATGATCACTTTATTATCTTTAATTTGATATTTATTTTGATATATTTTTTTCATCTGTTTTTTCATGGTTTTCTGGGTTCTTTTTCAAGGTTTTCCTTTAATTTTTACTTTCTCTCTCTCTCTCTCTATATATATATATATATATATATAAATTGCATTAAAATGAAACATAATTTGTTTGAGTTTCTACTTCATCAAACTTGGTTTCCAAAGCTTCAGTTTTATAAATGTACTGTCTTTGATATAATTAAAAAAACATATTATAACTTTATGAAAGAAAATAAAATGTATTATAATTATGTTTAGAGGAATCTTTTTAATTTTTTTTATTAAATTTTTTAGGTTTATAAATAAAAACAATGATGGTTTTATTTTAGAAATAAAAACTTTATAAAATAAAAGTGATTACAATTTATGCTAATTTTTAATTTATATTATAAAATAAAAATTTGTTATTTAAAAAATAATGATTTAATATAAATGAGTCGTAGGTTGTGTATATGGTGGACAAGTTTGAGTTATGGCATAGGCTGCCGGTGTTGCTGGGGCTGGCTTATTTGGCTTTAAGAAGGCGGTTGCACCAGAGATACAATCTCCTGCATGTCCATGTCGGAACCATGACTGGCACTAAATATGACGTTGACCAGTATTCTCATCGGACGGCTGATGGCAAGTGCAATCATCCAACGGATGATATTGTAGGCAGTCAAGGAACAGCTTTCGGTCGCAATATGCCTCCATCCACCACCAACTTTGGGGTAAGGACTAACCGACTAAGTTTGATTAAATAAAAATAAAATAATATATGTTGACGATGGAAAATAAATTTATTACATATATTAGGTTTTTTTATTTAAATAAATAATAAAATGTTTATATGCATTTAAAAGACAGTTAAAAATTACATAATTCAGATACCTTATTTTTTTAAAAGAGAATCGGGTAATTTATGATAATTGTAAGATGTAATGTAAGCAACTTATTTAAGATAATTATGTTATTTATTAAATAAAGTGAAAAACGTATGAAATGATCTAACCTTTGATCACCTTTAATATCAAATTTGGCCATAAATCGCAAGGATTGATCTGGTGCATCTCATCCTAATGTGAATTTAAGGAGGGAGATCGCCTTTTACGATTTTCACCTTAACTTTCCTTCTTACGGGAACCCGACGACCTTATGTGTGTGTGTATATATATATATAGATAAAGAGAGAGAGAGAGAGAACGATAATCAAATGTAAACAACAAAAAAGTTAAAAATCCGTAAGAACTGATATAAAAATATTTTTTATATGATATTTTTGTTCAAAAGCTATGATGTAATTGTTATATATATATATATATATATATATATATATATATATATTTGTGTTCACCTTATAAAAAAATTACACATGCATTTTTTTGAGTTCACTTGGTGAAATGAAATATATTCGTAACAACTATTCACATGGATAAACAAATACATGTGAGACCATCACATTATGAAATAAAGATATGTAAAATAATATCGTAAATCCTAGCATTTGATGGGGAAAAATCATGTAAAAAGTTATTTTTAAATCGATTCTCATAGATTTATAACTTTTTGTAGTTTTAATTTGATCTAATCCCTATATATAGTATATGTATATATATTCAAGATTATTAAAGTGGTAATAGAAGTTAATTAAATTTTGATTACGAGTGTGAAGGTGCTGGAGCCTCATCCATCGGTTGTAGCCGCAAAGCTGTTGGAAAGAAGGAAATTCGTAGACTGTGGAAAGCAATTCAACATGATAGCTTGCTCTTGGTTACAGTTCATGATTCATGACTGGATTGATCATATGGAGGACACGCACCAGGTCACACCTACCTTAACTTTATACATAACAATCTTCAACCCTACTTTACGACGTTTACCAAATACTTACTGGGTAAAAGTTTATCGTCAAGAGTCACCATCATTGCTTACTTTATTCCATAACATTATTAGCCATCAAAAGTGGATTGTTAGCAAGCGTTTTTGTCATGCTCACCATGCATGTAAGCGTTTAGTAAATGACCCTTTAATATTCTAAAAGCAAAGGTTAATTTGATTAAATTTAACATCATGTTTAATTAGTTAATTAATGCTGAGAACAGGTTGAAATTGTAGCTCCGACTGAGGTTGCTGGACAATGTCCATTGAAGTCGTATAAGTTCTACAAGAGTAGAGAAATTTCGACAGAATCGCTTCATACCAAGACTGGTTTTGTTAATGCAAGGACGCCATGGTGGTGAGTGGCATTTAGGCCAAGTTTGACAACCATAATAAACTGACTTATTTTGTTAAGCTCATTAAAAATGTCTTATTTGATTAGTCTTAAGTAGTTTGCTTTTTGGAAAACATTTCAACTAGCATTTTTCAACAACTTTAAAGGGCTTTTTGCTTCTTATCAACTAACATAGTCTTAGAGCATGATCTCTATCGATATGGTTCAACAAAATCACGTTGATCAAAACTAATTTGAGCAGGGATGGAAGTGTTATTTATGGAAATGATGAAGCGGGCATGGAGAAGGTAAGATCATACAAAGATGGAAAGTTGAAGATTTCTAGAGATGGACTTCTTGAACATGACGAGAAAGGGATTCCTGTATCTGGGGACGTCCGCAATTGTTGGGCTGGTTTCTCCCTCTTGCAAGCTTTATTTATTAAGGAGCATAATGTTGTTTGTGATATGCTAAAAGTAAGTTCATCATAACCATCATGTTTTCGGGAATACTTTTAACTATGCTCAAATGTTCGTGATATGTCCATAGGAGCATTATCCAGATCTTAACGACGACAAGCTATACCACCATGCAAGATTGATAACTTCAGCCACTATTGCCAAGATCCACACCATTGATTGGACTGTTGAACTCTTGAAGACTGATACCCTACTAGCAGCAATGAGAATCAACTGGTAAATGGTTCATAAACTAGAATCTGCATACTTTTTGGACTATGACCTTTTCATTGCATTTTTGCATATGATATGTTTTTGCTTTTGAGTATGACAATGTTAGTTGCTTAATTAATGATGTGTTCAGAAAGAATGTAACCTTTAGTTTGTTAAATGAAAAGCACTCAAGTATGATTCACTTCAGGTACGGCCTCTTGGGGAAGAAAGTGAAGGATTCGTTTGGGAATATATTCGGACCTGAATTAAGCGGGTTGGTTGGTCTTAGAAGGCCACAAGATCATGGAGTCCCCTATTCTTTGACAGAGGAGTTCGTAAGCGTCTACAGAATGCACACAACACTACCCGACAAAATATTTCTCCGAAACATCGATCCCACGGCTTCAAAACACAAATATACTCCCCCGATTCAAGAAGAGTACTATTCTTTTAGTGTTATCCACACTAATGTGAGTTTTTGAGGCAATTTTCAACTGTCTTGATTAATGATTTTTGTAGGGTGAATATGAAGGACATGATTGGGAAAGAAGGAGAAAAAAGACTGTCTAAAATTGGGATGGAGAAGATGTTGGTTTCTATGGGTTATCAATCTTGTGGAGCTATAACATTGTGGAACTATCCTTTGTGGATGAGGAACCTTGTTGCACATGATATCAATGGAGAAGAGAGACCAGATCTGGTGGACATGGCTTCGATGGAAAGTACGCAACGTTGCAGTTATCTCCAATATGATTCTTTTTTCCGTTTATGATCTTAGCTTAACATGCTGATGAACTGATATAGTTTATAGAGATAGAGAAAGGAAGATTCCTCGATACAATGAGTTTAGGAAGAACATGTTGATGATTCCTATTAGCAAGTGGGACGATTTGACCGACGATGAAGAGGTTATTGAAGCGCTCCAAGAAGTATACGGAGATGATGTTGAGAAGCTTGATCTGCTAGTGGGAATGCATGCAGAAAAGAAGATAAAAGGGTTTGCCATCAGTGAGACTGCTTTCTTCATTTTTGTGTTGATTGCTTCAAGGTGATCATGCTCTTTGTGGTTCTTGAATCTATGATTATGTTTCTTGGCAGTTAGTTTTATCATGATATACAATGTTTAACCACAATTGTAGGCGGCTTGAAGCAGATCGGTTCTTTACAACCAACTTTAACTCACAAACGTACACCAAAGAAGGACTACAATGGATTAACAAGATTGAGAGTCTGAAAGATGTTATTGATCGACATTTCCCTGAGATGTCAAAGACTTGGATGAGATGTTCAAGCGCGTTCTCTGTGTGGGATTCAGATACAAATGCTCGTAACTATGTACCCTTATATTTGCGATAAGCCTCGTGACATGTTAAGCTCGGTGTGTACACTCGTTTTGGTAATTTGGTGTATCTTGCTATGAAATAAAGAATAAAACTTATCTTTCTCCCGTTTGTTTGTTCTTTCTTTGGTATGAGAGAATGAAACATTGAATAAGCAGAAGGAGAAAAGGCACATCGATCGGCTTATGTCATCTCGTTGAGGTTAATATCACAAAGACGTATATGTATGAACGAAAAAGCAAGAAAGATTACGCATAAGTATGCATGTTTTCTTAATATCGTCTTGAAACAAATAATAAGATTGTAGAAACACTAAGTACATTCCTCAAAGAGATCTAGTTGTATCTCAAAGATATGGATTCTAAGTTTCAACTTAGCACATGTCGCTTTTTCTTGATATATTAGCGTGAACGACAAGTAATAATAAGCAAATAAGATAAATATAAAAAGGCAAGACAAGCACCAGGGGTGTAAATGATTTAATCGAGCTCAACTATCATTATACTCACTCAAACTCGAAAGTCAATTGTCAAGCTCGAACTCGATTTGAAAACTCGTGAGTAGTAAAAATCCAAACTCAACTCGAACTCGATAACCATTTCTCAAGCTCGAACTTAAACTCGTTTCAAGCTCGAATTAAGCTCGTTTTAAACTCGAACCTGTTTAATTCATAACAATAGTAAAAGTCTAACCACAAGGGTGGTGCCTGATTGGTTTGAGCTTGACCCGAAGATCAAAAGTACCTGGAGGTCCTAGGTTCAAATCCAAGGAGAAATAAAAATCCTCTTGTGGTCACGGAGGTTCAAATGCGGTGACTCTGGGCTATCTGCAAAGTATGTGGTCGTCTTGGGATTAGTCGACCCACATAGCGGGTTGAATATCCAGGTTAATAAAAAAAAGAAATAATAAAAGTCCAAAATAAATATAAAATACCAGTAAAATAAATCCATAAATTACGAGTTAACCAAATACAAAATAAAGTCGAAACTATTTGTAACTTACAACCAAAATAAAAACAAATTAAAGTCGAGAAAATTGCAATATTAAAACCAAGCACATTATAAATCCATCAATAAAACAAAAGACGATAAGTTAAATATGGTCTCATTTCAATTCAATTTTTGGGTTCCGTGAACGATAGTGAAAGAAAGATTTCCTTTGGTTGTTCTTCGTTCCCTTACAATAAAAACAAAAACAAAAACAAATTAGTACAGTTATTAAAAGTGAAGATAAACAACTAAATATAATTAGACATTTACCTTATTCTTTCTTCTCACTCCATGGAGGGATCTACATCAATCACCATGCACATCAACATTTGAACTGTTTTCGGAGCAACAAAAGCTCTATAAGGATCTATCACATGACCAACAACACTAAAAGTTGCCTTTAAAGCCACAATAATGATAGGAATAACCAAGATATTCACAACCATTCTAGACAAAATTCGAAACTTGTTTGATTGTTCCTTCCACCAAGCTAAGACATTAAATTTGTAATCTCGACTAAAGAAACATCCCTCTTCAAGATACATGTCAAGCTCAGATGTCACACAAGTTACCGATGTCTCCCCACTAAAAACATCTAAGAAAAAAATAGATCCATCATTTCCTTCATAGAGTATTTGATCCAAATTCACATTCACCACTTTCATCCATAATAGAAGAATAACACATTCACACATATTCATCCAAAAGCTCATACATAACCTTTTTGACTTTACTAATATTTTCCGGAGCTAAATTTGGATAAATCATTTTGGGCCATGTCATCTCTATAGCCCTCATTTTCAATCTTGGGTCTAATACGATCCCTATTGACATTAACATGTTTCATTCCCTCCAATATTTATCAATTCTCTCTTTCATGTCACTACAACAAAAAGGGATTTATAAGACACTTTTTTGGGACACTTTTCGAAAACCGTCCTTTAAAAAGGCTAATACGACACATTATTTTATGAGTCATATTTGACTTAATCTTATATGACTCTTGCTTTTGATGTCTTATCAACATATCTTGACGTCCTATCATGTAATCTAATACGACACTTTTGAATGTCATATTATTTTATGGTCTAATAGGACACTTTTAAGTGTCGTATTATTTTAAAGACCAATATCTTATTTTAAATGCTAATATGACACTTTCAATTATCCTATTTTTTTAAAAGCTAATACAACACGGTTGGTTGTCATATTAGAGATTAAGATCTAATATGACACTTTTAAGTGTCCATTAAAGTTTAAAATAATATGAACATAATTATATATTTAGAAATATATTTATGTCTTCCAAGGTTTTAAGCTCTTATGATTTATATAAACTACTTAATTTTAAACAAAAACACTGGGCCAAAACACTGGACTATTTTGACGTTGAAAGCCCAAATACTTATTTCAGAAAGCCTTTAAATGAATAGTGCAGCAAAACGAACTTGATGGATAAGGAAAAACACTTGTTTCAGAAAGCTCAAAACCTCAAATCCTCAGAGCCTAGAATCCGGTTGCGATCATCATCGAGTGCTCTGCCTGAGAATCCGTTTGYGGTCGAAACTTCTACACCCTGAGAATYTCAAAGCCTGGCTGTTTGCRATCGACTCCTCTGCACTGTTTGAGATCCGTCAAGCCCTCGGTCTTTGAAGCCCTAGYTRTTCGTCAAATTCTGAGTTAGGAAGTTTTCGGTKGCAACATTGACGGTAACAAAATCAAACCRACTAGTATTTTTTCTAACTTAAATTTGTAGTGCAGTTGATCGTGATACCGATATTGGATGATATGCGCAGTAATTATGTTAATTGTGTTAATATGTAGTCATACTGATATCTTAGTAATGAGTTGAAAGTGAGCTTCGATAAGAGTAGCTAACAGGAGGTTGGACATAGTTAAAAGCATTTTTTTACAATGGTTTGATAGCATGTCTTAGTCATGTAACCATCTGTCTGTATTGGTATGACTATTTCATACAAGATAGAAATTAGCAACTTAGTTGAGTCATAACTTAAGATAGCTATTGGTTTAAGCTTAGACATTCTAAATTAACACCCAATTTACTAAAACCACTGCTCTGAGACAAAATTGAAACGCCTAATTTTCAAGTTAGCATTTCTACTGAAATTTTAACATGACCTATCTTCTATGGGCTTCCATCTAATAACCAATCTTTCTATGAGAGAATGTGGTTGTGCTGAAAATTGAAATGCCTAATTTTCAATGGTTTTGATTGTTGGTTATCTTATCTGTGTTGAAAATGTGGCTGCTCTATTTGTAAATTTTAGTCAGTTAAAATTTTAGTTATTAAAGAAATTTCAGCAGTTATATATATTGTAGTCAATGGAATTATAGATGGTTTCTTTTACTTGTTTCTAGGTGAGATCAAATGTAAAATTATGTCAGGAAGGACTTAGAAATGTAAATGAGGCTACCTGTGGTGGAAATGCCTTGCCATTCTATTCTGCTGTACGAATGAGGATTGCTATAAAGGACTGCTTAGGACTCAGGATAAGGTAAGAAATTTTGGCTCTATGTATCTACAATATTTTATTTTTTAAAGTTGTTATTTTGAATTTTCATACAAGTATTTGGGCCATAGGTGTCTCCTACAAACGTGTCTAAAACCACCACAGTCGTGTCTTAAAATCGTGAATGAAAAGTTGTATTATATGGAAGTATAATGCAAATTAGCCAATTAGGTGCTTGTTGAAAATTCGTCAAGTGATTGCTTTTAATTTTGGTTTTTCTTCTTCCTCTTTTGCTATCCCACATTGGTTATTCAAGTGTKTTCATACAATGCATCTAACACACTTGCTTCTGTTTACCTGTGGTGTTATTTGATAGGGACTTTCTCGATATTTGTAGACGCTTATGTTTCTCGATGTGTAGTCTATAAGGAAAGCAGAAGCAGGCATGCAGCTCTTCACTTTTACTTATATATCCTTTATATGATGAATAATCAGRCCGTTGCTACTTTATGAATAAATAAGTTCCCTGTGACTTTTCCTTAGATAACCTTGTCATATTGTACACTCTGCTTTTTCCTTCCCATGGAAGTTGCAATGTTTATGGGTACCCTTTATCTTTAWTTATCAATTCGTATAATCGTTACTATCTCTCATGGTCCAATGATAAATGCAATTCAAGACTTGACGAATAGTTCAATGATAATGTTTGATGATAGAATTTTATTAAAAAGGCTGTTGATATCTCAKACCTTGTAGAATTGTAATTTGTAAATGTGCTACTCATGTTTAGYAATTCAAACTAAGAGGAGATAGTCCCTTTGGAGGTTTGGGCTTGACTGACCATATATGATTTGAGGTTCATATAGCTTACGATTCYACCATGGTCCAAGCAGTTTCTCAATCCCCTCATCTAAACTAAAATTCCACTCCACTCACTRCTTAATTAATTAATGTTTCCCCTTCTTTTTATATTCATTAATTACCATAAAAACTTTTCATAACCAGTCTTGATATTCAATTTCACTGCAAGTTCCGTAAGAGAACCCATAAATAACAACCAACATTTTAAACCATAAATAACAACCAACATTTTAAACCATATTTGCTGCTTTTCTCATATTAAGTTCGTTTAGCGGAATGCTATAACGAATTAACTTGATGAATTACTGTTGGTATCGATGCAAATTACATGGCATTACATTGTTATCTCATGACTTGTATACACACAGATCATGCTTATCATACTACCAGTCTTTTGGTAGTATGGAACTCTTTTTGGGTGAAAATTTCCAATATTAGCAATCTCTTCCTTATAGAAAAACTAGCACAACACTCTTGCAACTCTTTTTTCGAAAACACATAAAAATAGTCTTAGGCACTACCGGTCATACCAAATGCTTCTAGTGCATGAGAGAACCAAACACAAGGAGCCTGCTTTAGTCTGTAGAGAGCCTACCTAACAGGGATATAATGCAACCGTGGACCAATTATCAAGGGGCTTTAAAAACACAAGGAGCCTGCTTTAGTCTGTAGGAAGCTTGCTTATGCTTTCTTTGGACGTGGACCAATTATCAAGGGGCTTTAAAAACATGATATCTACTCTTATGTATCTCAGACAAGCCTTGAGTACAATTTTCATTGTAGGATG